GTTAGTGTGGCTCTTTAGTTAGTCTTTAAGAGCACACTAACTTAGTGTAGTGACATAGCTATTGTGTGGATAGAAACTATATAAACTAGAATTATGGTAGGTGGCTTGTAATTTTAGTAGGCTAGCGCAACACTTGCTTCGCCTCATAATTGTCTAACCGGTTCGCTAAGTGTTGTTGTAGAAATTTTTATTAGGCTATTCACCCCCCTCTAGCCACTAGGACCTTTCATATCCGATATTAACGTGACCCATTTGTGCACTATTCCTATAGACAACGCTTATGCTAGGAAGCCCTCGCATTAATCCGTCTTCGCAACAAATTGGTCCCCGACGTCCCCGCGCTCATCAGCGCGGCATTGACCGGCACTGAGCAGCTACGCCGCCCAACTGGGGACCCCTATGGCGCATCTCCAGAGCCATGCTCATCTACGAGCCAACGTGCAACGATGGGCAGCGATTAGGACACCATAGACGAACTACAGTGGCTCCTCTATGTCGGCGGACAAACCACGGCGATGGCGGCGGCGTTCCGGTGAACTAGGACAACTACCGGCTTAACCAGCTAGCGTGCGAGCAGCAGAGGCTCACCATGGACCTGGCCGAGGTGATGGTATGGCCGAGGACTGCCCGAGCGAGGCCGGCCACATGCGACCGAGCGGCACGGTGGTGCACCGCGGCGGACACGACAGCGTCAGCAGCGCCGGGGTAGCGGTAGAGGTACGGCTAAGGAGCGCAGGGTGACGTAGAGGTGGAAGCGAAGCTAGCGGTGCACTTGGATTGGGTCGGGGTGGACAGATGGAGGACTGCCCATGGCAATGGCCGAGCTCGGCCTTATCGGCACAGCAGTGGGGAAAAACTCCAAATGGGAGCTTGGCCGTGCTCGCTTCAAGGCTGGATGGGGTCAGATGGCTAAGGGGGTTAATGGCGGAGCTAGGGGCGTGATGAATCGGGCGATGGTGACCTCTCCCTGCTGGATTTAATGAACGACGTCGCGTTAGGTAAAAATGACAAGGAGGGGAGGGAGGTCAGCCTGCGCTCGGCGCGACGTAGTTAAAGACGATGGCTGTTGGAGGGTACATTTGTCGCGGCGGCTTGGGCGCACGTGGGAACACCGTGGCTACGAGCATGGCCACGGCCCGGGCAGCGAGTGTTCCATGTGCGCGCGCGACCGTGGCAACACCGACAGGACCAAGCAGCGGCGTAGAGCTATAGGGGCGCAGACGCGATGGCGACGCGACGACGGTGGCAGCCGGGACAAAGCCTACGTGCGTGCAGGCGAGAGGGTCAACAACACCACCACGATTCGAGGCGAGGGGGCGGCAACAAGCGGCAACAAAGATGGCAACGAGGTGGGCGGCGGCGCGACGGCGGCGAGCCAGGTGGCGATGATGGCTGACTTCTTTGAGCCGACCCACGGCCTGGCAGGCCGACCGGGCTCGGCATCGCGGCGCCCGGGGCGCGGCTAGCCGCGTGACGCCGAGCGGCCGCGCGAGGTGACCATGCACACAGGCTAGGCATATGACGTGCACGGATTTTAAAGCACATCTAAAAACTAATCTAACACAGTTGAAGCTAAACTACATTGACCATGCTAAAAAGGGTAAATCAGTCTACCATAAGGATAAAAAACACAGCATTGATCTTTATCTAGTTTTTTTTTCTAGAATTAATTCATCAACATTGCATTGCATTGTCTTGGACTAAATTTGATTTCAAGTTTCTTTTCTAAGCTATTAGAAATACTAGCTAGCAATATTGTTTTTCTAAGACAAGAGTTGCATTGTCCTCTATAGAGTTTATACTTCAATCCTTATTTAGGTGTCACACATATGTTCTATAATACTTTTGCTCAATAAAAATTAGTTTTCACCTCTACTTGATATACATGAGCTATTGAATCAACTTTCATTTAACATTTTTATTAGTCATTTTATATTACAAGAAATTGATTTACACACTTTATCACATAAACATGATGCCCATGACATGGTTTAGTGGTTTTTTAGGGCGTAACACCGAGGGTGTTACAAAAAATTAATGACAATTAGTAAGTAGTTAAAAACACTACTACCTCCGTCTCTAAAAGAATGCAATTCTATAACAGTACCATGTTTTAGTATATCAAGTTTGACCAATTATAAAAAAAAGTATAAATATTTATAATGTCAAATAAATATCATTAGATTAATTACGAAATATATTTTCATAACAAATTTATTTAGAGCCATAAATGTGAATATTATTTACTAGAAACTTGATCAAATGTGAAACACTTTAACCGACACGCAACTCACAATTGCATTTTTTTAGGACGGAGGTAGTATTGTTCAAGTAATTCGGTTCCAAAAGGTAGTTTTGACTAGCTCCGCCTGCTTTTAATAAGTTGGAATTACTAGAAAGTGGTGATCGTCGAAATCTAAATAAGTAAATAAATATACAAGAAAGCGGTGATCGGTGTCCAGATAGGTCGGCGACGGCAACAGAAACAGAAACTTAGTGCCAGAAAGGAAAAAATGCGAGAAATTGAAAAAAAGCCCACGCTAACACCAATATGAAGTCATGTGAACACACATATCTTCCCCTGCGGGATTCTTCATTTTCTGCAACACGAATGGATTGCATGTTGATTTTTGGAGCTGTTAGCCTACGGTTTTCCATGACGGCGTCTACAAAGTTTTGTGAAGGGGTATTATAAATTGCCGGAGATGCTCTAACATGGTTTTCTGTCTCCTTTGCCCCTGGACTCCTTGGTTCTTTATCTCTCTTTTTTTTTCTTCAAGGCAAGTATGGTTAGATATGAAAGGACACAGTGATATACTATGTATACAAGAATGATGTTTCATTCATCAATTCAAACAATTTTAGATGGAAGAAGATAAAATCAAAAGAAAATAATTAGATAGTGGATGTGCTCGCTTTAGCTTCTTTTGGCTACTGGCTGTAGGTCCGAAGCTGCTTCTTATGTGCCTAAGAGCTGGTGCAATTGTAGCCACAGCCAACCCAAAAAAACAAGCTGGTCAACTAAAGAGCATGTACTCCATACATCTAAAAAGAAATAAAAATCTCTTTTTTTAAGTAGTCGATCAATCTCAAGTTTAGCTGAGTTTATAGAAAATAATATTAATATTTGTACCTCCAAACAAGTTTATTATGAAAATATATGTTATTGCCAATCAAATGATATTTATTATGTATCATAAATATTAGTAGCTTTTTTATATATGTTGAACCTGGCGTTGTTTGACTCTTTGAAAAATAATATTTATATTCTTTTTTGGGATAGATTGACTAACAACTTAGAGAAAATATAATAAGTGACATAAGTAGGATGTATGAATTGTCACATCAAATTTGTATCAGATTTGCGTTGAGATGGAGAGAGAGCAAATGAGAAAGAAGTGAACTGGTTGCAAACTTACAAGTAGCTATATTATGGGTTTAAAGAAATCTTGTAAGAGAATTGGAAGATAATGTATTAATGATGCATAATGTATCAATTCTGACTATTATATGAATGAGTTCTTATATTAGCCATAGATGACATGTTAGTCCCAAAAATAACGGCACATCTTGTTATTTGAGGAGCCAAATATTTTTTAAGTTTGACTAGATTTATAGAAAGTATTATCAACATTAGCATCTTTTAACATATTTATTATGAAAATATATTCCAATATTAATCTAGTACTCCCTCCGTTCAAGTTGTAAGTTGTTGTGTCTTTTTAGAAGCATAGTTTTTACTATTATGCAACTAGACATAATATATATATCTAGATAAGTAGAAAAATATATATACTTGAAAATGTTAGAACGACTTACAATCTAAAATGAAAGAAATAATATTTCCTCCATCCCAAAATAACTGTCGTCGTTGGTGTGCGTGCCACAAGTTTGACTCGATTTATAGAAAATACGCGTAACATTCGTAACTCCAAATAAATTTATTAAAAAACCTAATTCAAAGATCTTTCCAATAAAACTAATTACGTACCACATATATTAATATTTTTCAATATATATTTAGTTAAAATTGTTTCTTAGAAAACAAAAACGACAAAACCTTTGCTGCTGCGGCTACAACCGCAAGGCACAACTTCACAAGAACTTTACTGTAGTTGTGTTTTGTGGGGGCCTGATCATACTTTATATACATTTTGTCAAACTTAAAATGGTTGATTTTTTGAAAAAGCAGAATGTACAATCACTTTAGAACAGAATGAGCAACCAGTAATTAGATAAATTATTTTAGCTCATTTAAATTTTATAAAAAACGTACTTATCGTACGGACATGTTTTGCTAATTATTTTAAAAACTATTATCACGCTCAAGATCGACATGCATGTATGTACTAGACTGGACTGGTGCTTACTCGTATGCATCTGCATCTGCATCTGCATCTGCATCCATCCCAAACGACCCCCCTACCCTACGCCGTACCTGTCCAGCGCGGAGGTTCAATGAATCCAGCTCGCCGCGTGCGGTGCACTGCGACTCGGCGCCACGGCCCACGGGGGTCGAGGGGCACGCGACGCGACGCCGAGGCCCCCGCCACGCCCACGCTCTGTCCCTTGGGCGCGCCAGGGGTGCGCCGTGCGCTGGCGCGCCGTGCGCGTGCTCTCCTCCTTTCGCCCCCGATCCGGCGCACACGCAAGCGGGCCAGCCCCCCACTTCCTCTCTCATCCCATCCCCCTGCCTCCCTTTCTCTCTCTAACGACTCGGCTGCCTATATTCCTCTCCCATCTCTTTTCCTCTTCAGGTCGGTCTCCTCCTCCCCTCCTCTCCCCACAGAGGTTCCCCTTCCCCCTCCCTTCCTTTGCTCCCTTTTTTCCCTGTCGCCGGCGGCGATAGGGCTCTGTTTTCCTTGCTCCGGTGGGCTGTAAATGCTTCCGGCCCTCTCCGGCGCCTCAGATCCGGCGGTGACCGTGCTCTTGTTCGTTCTTCTGGTCTTGATTCGAGTGGGAGGGGAAGGGGTCCCTTTGGTCTTGGGAGATTCGGAGACATGCCTGCGCTCTACGCTTACGGGGGTGAGAGGGCGAAAGACCTCTTCTTTATTCTTCTTCTGTTCGGAGTTTTGTCGATTGATTTGAGATTCATGTTGGGACGAGACGATTACCTTTGTTATTCCGTTCTGATGGCTAATTGGTTGCTTCTTGGATGGATCAGATGGCGGATGCCTCGTCTCGGCGCCGGCTGAGCTGGCGAGGCTCTTCTGCCGCGGCGCCGTGCAGCAGCGGAAGCGCACGCTGGTGGCCGCGACCGCGGTCGCTGCGGCGGCGGCGGAGTGCGTGAGGGTGGCCAAGAAGCAGAGGCAGCAGCTGCCGCTGCCGCTGCCGTCGCTCGACGCGCTCCCGGACGAGTGCCTCTTCGAGATCCTGCGCCGCGTGCCCGGCGGCCGCGGCCGCGGCGCCTCCGCCTGCGTCTCCCGCCGCTGGCTCGCGCTCCTCGGCAGCATCCGGGCCTCCGAGCTCGGCCAGGCCGCGGCGGCGGCGGCGGCGGACACCCCGTCGCTGCCCGACCTGAACGAGGAGTTCGTCATGGAGGAGGAGGATAAGGAGAAGTCCCCCGCGGATCGGTGCGCCGTTGACAGGGTCCTGGAGGGCAAGGAGGCCACCGACGTCCGCCTGTCCGCCATGGCCGTCGTCGCCGGATCCCGCGGCGGGCTGGAGAAGCTCGCTGTCCGCGGTAGCCACCCGACCCGTGGCGTCACGGACCAAGGACTCTCGGCGGTTGCACGCGGCAGCCCCAACCTCGGCTCGCTGGCGCTCTGGGATGTGCCTCTTATCACCGATGCTGGGCTTGCGGAGATCGCCGCCGGGTGCCCCTCGCTGGAGCGTCTGGATATCTCTCGATGCCCCCTCATCACAGACAAGGGCCTCGCCGCTGTTGCGCAGGGGTGCCCCAACTTGGTGTCTCTGACCATTGAGGCATGCTCCGGTGTTGCCAATGAGGGCCTGAGGGCCATTGGCCGCAGCTGCGTGAAGCTGCAAGCTGTGAACATCAAGAACTGCCCTCTTGTTGGTGACCAAGGCATCTCCAGTCTGGTGTGCTCTGCTACCGCTTCACTTGCTAAGATCCGGCTCCAGGGATTGAACATAACTGATGCTTCGCTTGCTGTGATTGGATACTATGGGAAGGCTGTCACTGACCTTATACTTACTCGTCTTGCTACTGTTGGTGAGAGGGGTTTCTGGGTGATGGCTAATGCTGCTGGCCTGCAGAATCTGAGGTGCATGAGTGTTACCTCTTGCCCTGGAGTCACTGATCTTGCGCTCGCTTCTATTGCCAAGTTCTGCCCAAGCTTGAAGCAGCTTTACCTCAGGAAGTGTGGACATGTGTCGGATGCTGGCCTTAAGGCATTCACAGAATCAGCAAAGGTGTTTGAGAACTTGCAGCTTGAGGAATGCAACCGGGTTACTCTTGTCGGTATTCTTGCTTTCCTCCTCAACTGCAGCCAGAAGTTCAGGGCTCTCTCTTTGGTGAAATGCATGGGGATCAAGGATATCTGCTCTGCGCCTGCACAACTTCCTCTTTGCCGATCACTTCGTTTCCTTACAATCAAGGATTGCCCAGGTTTCACTGATGCAAGCTTGGCTGTGGTGGGGATGATTTGCCCTCAGTTAGAGCAGGTTGACCTGAGTGGTCTTGGTGAGGTCACTGACAATGGGCTTCTTCCATTGATCCAGTCTTCTGAAGCTGGTCTGATCAAGGTTGACTTGAGTGGTTGCAAGAACATCACAGATGTGGCTGTCTCCTCCCTGGTGAAGGGACATGGAAAATCTCTGAAGAAAGTCAGCCTTGAGGGTTGCAGCAAGATAACAGATGCTAGCCTCTTCACCATGTCTGAGAGCTGCACCGAGCTTGCCGAGCTTGATCTTTCAAACTGCATGGTTAGTGACTATGGTGTTGCCATCTTGGCATCTGCAAGTCACCTCAAGCTCCGTGTTCTCTCACTGTCTGGTTGCTCTAAGGTTACTCAGAAGAGCGTGCCGTTCTTGGGCAACCTTGGCCAGTCTCTAGAGGGCCTCAATCTTCAGTTCTGCAACATGATTGGCAACCACAACATTGCATCGCTGGAGAAGAAGCTCTGGTGGTGTGACATCCTTGCATAGGCAGACAAGATGGTCCATTGCTGGAAGGGCTCATGTGTACTGGGACCACTTCCAGATGCAGATATACGACCGTAGCAGTAGCGCAACCAGATGATCTTCAGGTTTTTGGCTTGCATAGTCACATGCGAGTCATGATGGTGGGCTTCCGCATTGTTCAAGGACCAGTTGTTTTAGGGGGTGCTTTCTTGCCAAGTGCTCGTTTTTCACAGATCACCTCTCAGGGGGTTTATCTGTTTTTTGAGCCTTGGCTGCCATCACTGGCATTCTGCCCCTCTATCCAGACACTGGTCCTTGCCTTTATAGTCATAAGGTTTTTTAGGTTGCCATAGTGTCCAAGTCCTTTTTCGTTTTACTGCTTCCTGGTTATGAAGTTGCAGGTGTCCGCGATCCAGTGGCAGCTCTGGACTATCACAATTCTAACTCAACCACCAGGTGCTGGTGTAGGACATCGTTTCCAGGGCTGCTGATGCATGCTGGAGCGTCTGTGGACTTGTGCAGTGTGTTTGGTTGTCGACTTTTGAGTTTGTTTTAACTCTTGATGTGTTGTGTGTGATGTTCTCCATGGTGTGTAAGGGTCATGTAGGGTCGCATCTTTTTTACAGTCTCTTTGGGATGCCTGGTGTTCATGGTGATCTTGGCCACTGCGAGGCGCATACTAGAAGCCTTGCCTTGACAACCTTGTATGGTTGTTTTTTTGCCAGATCCCAATTTTTACAGGCAGATTGTTGAGTGCTGCAAGCTTGTTGACCCTCTATGAATAAATGAAATATGTGTTTATGTTCAAACTTTGTGCTTGCCTTGGATTTATAACATTTTTGTGCATGCAAGTAGATTCTATGGGATGTATTGATAGTTTATCGAACCCCAAATCCTCAAAATACACATTGGCCCTGTTTGGCTTAGTCCATATTCGGCTTGTTCGCCTTCTTTTTTCAGTCGGAACAGTGTTTTTCTCACAACAATTCAGCCGGAACTGTGTTTTTCAGCCAGTCTTGCTGATGCATTTATTGTGGCCAAGGCTATCTTCAAGTATTGAGGGGCAGCTGCTCATGTTTGAATTCTTGCTAAAAGATTTTTTTTATTGACTAGGAATGAGCTATTTCCTGGTTTGTTGACTTTGTACTGGCTATAGATATCATATGTAGTACTCCATCCGTTTCAAATTATAAGTCACTTTGATTTTTTAGTAGATCCATTTTGTTATGCAGCTAGATATGATAATATATCTAGATACATAGCAAATAGATGAATCCAAAAAGTCAAAGCGACTTATAAAAGCGACTTATAATTTGGAATTGATGGAGTATTATACAATTTTGTTTGTCATAACTATGACACTTTTGAGTTATGGCTTTCTGAACTGTCGAGCGTGAAAAAAATTGTCCTGAAAAAAAATTAAAACAAAATAATCGTAAGTGTGAATCATATGGACTAGATTACGAAATAATATGGAATAGATAGATTAGAATTATATTAAAGGTGCGTTTGAATGCTAGAACATTTTGGATTCTAAAGTGGATCTCTAGAATCCCTAGCGATTCTCTGTGGAACACGTCGAAACATTTCTCTGTTTGACTTTTGAACTAGGAATGAGAATATTCCAAATAGGTGTTTTGCAGTGATTAGAAATGTTTTTCTATTTTGAACTAGGACCGGGAATCATCTAAATTAGGTGTTTCGTAGTGGTTCTAGTTCATTTCAAGAAGAATCTGCATCAATAGCCAAAACTGCTCCCTGCAAATAGAAGCCCTCGTTTTTCTTCGGCAGGCCTGGCCAGCTGCACGACCGCTGGGTCGATTTCCAGGGCGAAATCTTGCGCAAGGCCTCCGGCGACTCGCGGCCTTCAGTCAATCAGGCTGCGGTTGCGGTTGCACAAAGGATGGATGCCCCTCTCTCGTGCGTGAGTCTTCTCTTGTGGTTTTGGTTTCCTGTGGTGATCTGTGAATCGCGGTCCGAGGTTGAGTTCCTGTTTGTTCTGTGCTTCGATCAGTCTGGGCGCAAGGAGACCAACAGCCACCGCTGATGTTCCGGTGGTTCGCCAGGAGGTGCAAGCGACGTCGAGCCAGTCGCAACAGGATGGAGCACTCATCAGGCTAGGAAAAATTCCTGGCCTCCCTTAACTCCCTAGTCCCTTCGTTTGAAAATTCTAGGCATAATTTGTTTGAAAATAGTCACCGTTTATGTATTTTGAGGAAAATAAATAGTTAAATTGCAAGCAGAGTTTTATAGCTATATAAAAATGATATATTACGTGAAAAACACTGTCCAAAAGATAAATTCTGAAGGTTGTAAAAATAAAAATGCACATTGGAAGTGATCTTAAACATTTGTATGTACCCATTACTTATTTTTGCGTGTTAACGTGCGAGTCAGATTCGTGGTAAGAGCAAGTTATATATGATGCATCGGCAGCAAACGAGAAGCAGCAGCTAATGATTCAATTAGATACAGCGAAGTGACCACCAAGAGGTTCCAATGATTGAAATTTGAAACGACCCATGATGACTCCTGCCTAGCAGCATTGCACATGACAAACTGAAGAGCACCTGTTCAAGCTCCATCCTTCAGCAGCCAGCAGTACCTCAGACCACTGAGCCACAGCCCTCATCATCGATTAGTAGGCAAGTTCCAAGGCCATTAGGCAGGTGTGCTGATTTTGCCCACTCTCTAGCTTTCTACGGATAAAACAGGAGAGCCACAGATGAAGGTAGCATTATCCTATGCAAAGCGAAGAAATACTATTCGACAGGCACGCTACGCAGATGACAAATATCCAGTACACAATCGAAGTTCAAATTATCAATTGAACAATGCTATTTAGCGAAGTACACAATCGAAGATCAGGGGACATTCTTCTTCACAGAAGGGGCTAATTCTGAAAAACAAAAGGTAGATTTGGATAGGAGGCACAAGTTCTAAGGTATGAAGCCGTTTCAAGTACACAGGCAAAAAATAAAAAAAGCTGTCTCATGACCACAAGTTCAGTATTCTCTTGCTATGGTCTAGAGCCCTGGATATTGAAATGAAATCTCATTAATCAGGGCTGCAGAATTTGGATGTTACCATCTGGCAACACAACTAGGACTTATTAGGAGGTTATAATGAATGCACTTGCGACCAACTGCAAATGACTTGGGACAATTTGGATATATCTGTAGATTATGAACAAAAGCTATCTAGATTGATAAGCAACGTACCAGGCTCAATTCCAGGAAAACAAAACAGGAGTATATATCACATAACATAATGCAGGCCACAAGTTACTCTAGCAGGCAAGCACAATATTATACAAAGCTGAGGCACGCCACCATCCATCACAAATCAGTTGGTTTTGGTCACCGTGATCTTCACTAAACAGCACTCTGTTCGCTGACGTCTTGTTCATTAGGATTAGCTCCAGCTTCAATTGGCCCCTGAACAGAATCTGTTTTCGTCTCACTTCCTTGTACCTGTCCTGTAGCTGATCCTGTCTCCTGAGCATTAACTGCATTGAGTTTGGTGTTCTTTCGCTGCCTTGAGGTGGCATCAAGCGGACCAGTTTCTTCAGATGGCAGACTGGGGAGTGACTCCCTCTGGGGCTTCTTTGCTGAATTCAACGGGGTTGATTTTTTCACACCATTTTGAGAAACCTTTTCCTCGAAGCTCAGGCGGGCAGGTTGGTCCGTAGTAGCATCTTCTTCAGTCTCTGGTGTGGACTTGTTTTTAGAACGACCAAGCTTTGGTGATTTAGCTTTAGTTGGGGGGATCTACAGCAAATAGCAATGCTGAAACACATAAGGTTTGTTTGAAATACAAACTCCATATTTGTCCAGTAGTATATGTGCATGTATTAAAAAAGAGAGGACTCTTCTACTACACATATAAAAAATCAACATGCAGGGAAAAGACTGCCCCACCACGGCATTGCATTAAGATTTAAGAAGCTTCTCGCGCACAGACGGAAAACCACCCCGAAGAGCGGCTGCCCTAGACATGCCACCGAGTGCCCAGGACACATGCTTGCGTCCATGTGCATCTCGTTTAAAGCAACTAAGGCGGTTACACATATAACTCAGGACTACAGCCAACAAAGGGGGTCGAACCCAGGACCTTGTGTGCTACTTGAGCCCTGCTAACCAGTAAGGTAGCAGGCCCATTAGCTTCTACTACACATATCAAAACTAAATTAGTAAGATACATTCGAGTATCTCGTCTGTCCTGCAAGCCTGGTAGTTGCTGAGTGCTGATGGTATGTATAATTTGGCTCCTCATCCATTTTTGACAAGGTTTTCTGGTGCATTGTCATGTGCTTGACTAATTATAAATGCAATATTTGGACTAAACAATCATATCAGCAAAGCACCAAAGAATGATGACAATAAAGTTGATCGATGCCAAAGAAACAAGGACTTAAAATAGGAGAGCCACTGGTCGCCAAACAATTATCAAATTTCTGTTAACAGCAATGTTTACAAGTCGTCTACTCGAACCTAGTCGCCATGGGACCAACTAGGACAATTAATCGCGATTAATCACAATTAATCTGGTGACTTGTATAAGTTGACGGTACCTCTAATCGGTCACCAGGGACCGATTAGGACGATTAATCGTGATTAATCGAACGACTGGTAATCATTGGTTAACAGGCAAGAGATTATTTGAGTAGTGTGTTCCAACTGGAAATAAGTATTTCTATGGACGCTATGAAGCCAAACAAGTCGGTGTTCCTGTATTGTTCATGTCAAGGCCCTGTATAAATTCTGCCACTCAAGATGACCGCGAACAGAAAATTTAGTACACACATGAAATCATTGCATCAGGAAAGTCATAAATAGAGAAAAACAAAATACCGACTGCGGTTACCATCTACACTTAGATAACAGGTTTTTACATCAGAAAAAATTAAGCCTTCCAGGTTCCAGCTAAACTATATGGTAGTTTCAACTTCACCTCCTCTTTTAAAATGATTGTGTGAAATATATATTCCGAAAAGGCAAGAAAGGCTGTGGGTGACTAAAACTGATGGAATTTACACTGTATGAGTGATGATTCCACACATGCTCATAAGGCATGTCAGTCATGAGTTCACTCAAAGTATAAGATACTGTAGATAGCCATGACTCATAATCACTAAGTTACCTTTTTCAATTCAACCTTGGCAGGAGTTGGTTCCTTATACAAGCTTGGCATTGGTGTTGCCTTGAAATTCAAACTCTTTCTCAGCATTTTGAGTTCTGCTTCTTCAGTTTCCTGTGCATTTTACAGAAATATATCAGCAAGCAACATAAGAGATGTGATGTTGGAAGGCAACATTTCCCAAAAGAAAGGAACATAAGGGTACCTTTGATTTCGCTTGCAAATTGCTTATTTCTAACTCTCTTGCATGAATCTTCTCCTCAAGCTTCGAATAGAACTGTTTGATTGCAGAATTGGGTAAACAAAGTTGGCAACATGCATATTTCAAAATGCAATCAGCAAATAAAACAGCTAAAGACAGTGTTACCTCTCTTCTTTTTTCAGATCTCTCATCGCACTTGAAGGTGAAACCGTATGATGGAGTGCTGCCAACTTTTCGAGGTTTTGCCCTCTCACCATTTGACTGTTCTTCATCTCTTTTGATGGAAGAGAGCTGTGCTGATGGCTTTTGAGTTTTCCTTTTCTCCCTGGATCTGAGTTAAAATATAAATAGCGTAAGTGACTCTTCAAATATATAGCTGTATTAGATCATTTTATATCCAGTCTATGATGCACCAGGATTTGTCTAGGACATCGTATGGATATGTTTATGCCAGATGAAGCTATATAATGACTTTTTTTAGCATGGTTTCTTTCTGTTTTACAAGCAGCGCGCACGAATTTATGCACATATCCCAGATGCGTAGCATGGACACACTGTCGAACTCGCCCAGGCGTGCATGTACTATTCCTACTGGGGGCTCTAAATGATGTCTCTGGTAGAGTTCTCCAGTACTGTAATTCGTTGTGAACATATTCATTCGGGGCATATATACTAATGCACTATTAGTCTAGAGTTCTCCAGTATCATAATTCGTGGTGAACATATTTATTCGGGGCGCATATAATACTAATACACTATTAGTCTATTACTACATTCCTTCTCCCAAGATATTCTGATCTTAATAGAAAGGAAAGAAGCAACTTACTTGGAGTCATCCAGCAATGTTGCATCCATGGGAGATGAGCGAGATTCATTATTGCCAGCTTTCTGATAAAAGTGAAACAAGTCATGTAAGGTATTGCCAGCTTTCTGATAAAAGTGAAACAAGTCATGTAAGATCCAACTGGATTGGGCAGGAAGCTGATTCTAGATATCCACATAACTAGTGAATATATTTAAACATCAACCCGCCAGGGGTATGACCTCCCCAAGGGCTCAGGCCATTGCTATTAAGGTAGAAGACATCAACCTTGTAAGCTGAGAAAATCCTTGAACCCGCGGGGTATGACCTCCCCAAGGCTCAGGGCATTGCTATTAAGGTAGAAGACACCAACCTTGCAAGCTGAGAAAATCCCTGAACCCCAGCTTTGCCGAACCCCAGCTTTGCCGACGAGGGGATTTTTTTTTAACCCGCCTAAATTCGCTCCCACGAGAAGTCGAACTCAAGACCCAAAGGTGCTACTAAAGCGCTTGCAACCACTAGGCTACAGGCTCTTCTGCTGACCAGTGAAGATATTGAAACATAGTGCATCATAATGTAGAACTGCTTACATTACTGGCAACACTAACGTCACCATGGGACACCTGGACAATGGGTGCCTTAGGAAGAGAAAAATTGGGAGCTTTTCTCCTTGTCTGACCTTCATCTCCACTCCTTGGGCTCTTAGATTTGATAGCCTTAGGTCCATGGCTTTGATTCCCCTAAAAGTTACATAATGAACGCAACTGTAGATGAAGAAGATAGCCACAAAAGCATTACAAGACATCGCCGTCAAGAGCTCACCTTGTAAAGGCGAGGCTTCCTACCTTCCATAGGCGAGGTGGCCTCCCCGCCAGCCTCTTCTGGCGGGTTGATCACCTCGCTCTCCCCTGAGTTGTCCTCATTGCCCTTCTCCCCATGCTCTTCCTCACCCTGGCCCCCTAAGCTAGGCATTGCGGGCTTCCCACTGGCAGGGGTGGACCCAGTAAAGGACATGGGTGTACACATGTACACCCAATAATTTTTGCAAAGCAATCGAAGTTATTCTAGGTCATGTGGTAGATCACGGACGTGACACTCCTATTGAGTCCTTTGTAGTCCACTCCTCGATGTAGGTAACACGTAAGATCTGATTACGAAGGAAGATAAGCTTTGTTCTTACTCTTCCCTAGTAATATCCCTTATGTATAGATATGAAGATGATCTTAGCCATGATTACTACGTATAATTACACTAATCAATGCATGCTTTTATGGTAGAACCGCCTAATCTAATATCTCCTAGGAGTACTTGTCTTCCATTAGACACTAAGTACTCAAGAGAGGATACTAAACTACGTAGTTCCGTCGAGTACACCCCAAGGGAGAACTCGAAAATCTACATTTTTTCATCAGGAGTGTCATTTCTTACATCACTTTATTACAGTAGTAGAATATTACCTCAATTGATTATAACAGCGGAATATAACAATGTTATTAGAGTTACAGATGAAGTAAAGATTAATTTAATGACATGGTGGAGCATTAACATAGTGGACATTTTTATACAAGAGATGCTAGCAGATTTTACATCTTTTCTTATAAAAACCTTTAGTGAGGGTTATAAATAAACACTACGGTCGTAGCATGAAAGGAATCCTCTCTGAGCCCACCAGGAGGTTTCCACACACAAGAGTCAGCTCTAAGTATCCTCTGATCACCTACAATAGGGGAAATAAAACCCTGAGTACTTGATTATACTCAGCAAGACTTACCCGATAGGAGGAAAATAAAAGACTCCAAGGATATGTAAGGCTTATTTGGCTTGTGGGTTATTGCATCTGCAGAAGCATTACTAATAATGCATCCTTGTGTTCCAAGTTTTATTAGCAGTCATCATTAGTTCATTAACTATCCATTCTATGTAAGCTCCTATGCTACTTACAAGCAGGTGGTGAGCAACCAGAACCATTTTATCATCTTTCATATTCCAGTTCTTACTACGGTGCTAGACCATAACCAAGTCGGTACCATCTCATAGAAATGGCGATTCGTGAATCAATGAACCCCGAAACACACGCCCTGTTTGTACCCTAGGCACAAAAAAGACCAACCCATTCTACTCCTATCACAGGGTCCAGGTCCCCATCCAAACTTGGACTCTAAGCCCCCACACTAGAGACCCGGTTTCAGTATGGTGCTTAGACCTCCACATTTTCCCGCCTCCAGTCAGTCGGTTCGAAAAGATCCAAGTACCATTCCGCCCGGTCTCCAATTATCATCCATATATATTCCATGTGATAGTGACATAATAACAACAATAATATCTTTCCTATCTCTCGCGAGTGACAGGTAATCACTCGACTTATAACGAATCCTATAGCATAGCCATCTAGACGATTCTGATATACTAGTAGGACTCATAGGATAAGGATATATATGCAAGTAATTTTCATTCAACTCCTTAAAACTTAATGCACAAGCATAAAATAAAAGTGCAGAATAATAGGGATTATGCACCGGGGCTAGCCTGGGTAAGATATAACCAAAAGTTAGCATTCCATCATGGCGACACAACCATAAGGCACCATCTTTTCTACTTTTCCGGTCGACTCCACGATCCATCATTGTTCCTATTATGATATACGTGGATGCAACGCAGAAAACGTAGTTAACCAACGGTAACTGCAACTCTAAAATACGATTACGCTCCGCAAGCTAAATAGTTAGCTTTAATGATTAACGTACTAGTCTACGTATCCACGTCATCAAGTAAGACGTTATTTTTGGAAAATGTATTAGTTCTACAACCCTAAGGTGCTTTGGCATTTTATTGATTAAATATATATTTTTAAACTAGGACTTATTTAGCTACCTTAGCAAACTAATTATCATGGAGCTAGAAAAATTACAGTGAGCACCTAATAATGTTAGAAAGTTACTCTGAAAGTTTCAGGGCCAACATTATTACCAATTTATCACAAAAATTCCTTCAAGTTTATATCTTAACAATATTAAGCATCTCAAATTAATTAGATCACTCCTGAAAATATTATAAAACTATGTGAACAAAATATACTAGCAGATGGATCATGATTTTAGGAACCTAACAAAATTGGTTTCACAATTTTTGGTTAACTACACAATTTTATATTGAATTTACAAGTTTACCTTAGAAACTAAATTAGAAAATGCTTTAGAAAATAAAAAGGGCCGGTGGCAAGCATTCGGCCCAGCAGCCTAGCGCGGCGCGGCCATGCGCACGTCGCAACGGCCCAACACGGCTCAAGGCCAGGGGGCCCATGCGCGACGACGATTTTGTAGAGAAGCCCCCGAGCTTCGAGGTAATAGTACGACTACCATGTGTACTGTTCCTATCGGTAGTGGCTTTGCGACCAAGCCCTCGGTTATTTTTGTCCTCACCACGAGCAGGTCCCTGTAATCCCCGTGCTCGTCGGCGCGGTGGCCGACGGCATAGGGTAGCTACGCCGCGCAACCTAGGCTCTCTAAGACAGGAGTAAGGGGTCGACCACCATCTACGGCTAAACACACACGACAGGGTGGTGGTTAGAGACTCAAAGGCGCACTGTTGTGGGCTGCAGCGGTGAGCGGCTATCCACAGCAACGACGTGACTATTCCGGTGGCCTAAGTTTCTATCGGGGTGGTAGAGATAGTGGATAAGCATCAGTAGCTCATTGGAATTCATGCTGCAATGACGGTTGAGGCAAGGAAAAGCTAAGGTGGCCTAGCCACATGTGCCCGAGCACGGCAGCGACGCCCCAAGCTGGACACCGACGTCACCACGTCGCTGACGAGTTCCCTGGCCAAAACAGTGTGAGCGCCGGATAGAGGGAGTCAAGGCGAGTTTAGGGTTATGACCAATTAAACTATTACCACTCCTACGGGCCTTACCCATAACCCTCTGGTCACGATGGTGCACATGACCGACGGTGAGGAGAAACCAAAATTGACTGTTGACAGACCACGGATGGGCTCGATGAGAATGCAACACCTAGCTAACTTGCTAAGCTACCCACCGATGCGAGGAATTGGACTAGGAGGGCTTGAGTTGGTGATAATGAAGAGGAGAGGAGAGCGGTGCACTGCCACTGCCACATTGCAGGGAGTGGCCCCGGCGGAGGTGACCCGGCCAAAGACCCGACAAGGCATGGCAACATGAGGACACAACCTCATGAGCAAGGGCAAGGGTCGCATGGTTAATGCTCAGGTGGAGCCCTTAGGGGTGCCTGTGCGGCCATGTGTAAGCTACAACACGGCATCGCAATGTGGTAGACTACGTACGACGTCGAGCTCGGGCTTGGTAGGTGGGTTGTGCGGCTGGGTACAAATGCTATAGCGGCTGGGTGAGTCGGAGGACGTGGGACAGCGCCATGAGTAGTGGCATGGCTCGAGACAAGGAGGGTAGTGTGTGGGGCAGCCATGCAGTAGGGTGGCAGTGGTGGTTGAGGGACGAGTGCCAAGGCCTTCGGCCAGCAGCAGGCGTCGCAGCCGAAGGTGGTCAAGCCACGGCCACACCGCAGCCAGGCCGAGGGCGGCCACCAACAACCTGCCCACACACACGCACGGCTAGAGGTAGCCACAGCGTGCACCGAACACGGTGACCACGCACTCCCGGGCGAACGGCCAGACACATGCGAAGCACAAATTTTAAAGCGTCAAAACCAACCGCTTAGAGCCCAATTGAGATTAAAACAAGAGTTCAAGATTCTAGTAGCCACTAAGGGCTTCTCGTTCGAGCAACGAGCATGGCCGGAGAGTGAGCATCGTGGGAGATAGACAGGTGCCAATAGGAGCTCATCGTGCTGAACGCCAGTTCACGACCGAAGCCCAAAACAAGATCGACAGCGTGTTCTAACAAAGTTAGGGTAATTTCTGCGATGCCACGACAACTCCAACTCATCCGTGGACTTCACCATGCTAAAGTACTCACTTAGAGGCAACTAACACTACAAAATCACGAAGCTAGTGTTTATGCATTTTAGTTAGAACTTAAACGCCAAAATAGCATTGTCCAACACTCTTTTCTGACTTAGAAAAGACAAGGGTTCAATTTGGACATAACATCCATGAACACTTATTGCCACAATTTTTAAGAGGTCCATACCTTAGTAACTTCAACCAAGAAATCCTACATGTGATAGCCCATACTTCATACTAGACCATAGGAACGAAATACGTAAGCACTATTTAACTATTTTGCTCAATATAATTCACCAAAAATGGTATTTTAAACAATAGTTCAAGTGTTTGCCGACTTAACGAAAAGAGTTTATCTTAACTTCAAATTTGATTTTTGAGCTCCCAAGAACACTAGTTAACAACATTTATTTTCACAATTTAAAGTTGCATCTTCAACTACACCACTTGCTCGTCATCTTTACTTAAGTATTACACACAAGTTATATTTTATTTTTGTTTATATAAATTGTTTTTCATGCCAAACAATTAAAATGACTTATCCCATTTTTCTCGTTAGGATTTTCATTAGCACTTTACGCACCAAGTAAGTTAACTTGGATATTTATTTGAGTCCACAAAAGTGAGTCACATAGGATTCGCTTATCATTTCACGTGCGTTATAAATTTTTAAAACCTAAAAACTTGTTAGGCTAATCCCTCTCGGACCTAAATCTCGGTGCTAAGCAAGCTCGTAACACCAGGGGTTTTACAATCTTCCCCCCTTAAAGGAATCTCGTCCTGAGATTCGAAATAAGAATCAGAAAGGGAAAATGCGATTACACTTCGCAGAAGAAATTACATGAAAGATTACACGACGTCGAACACTAAACCACATAGAGATTTAGAGATACAAGGTTAAGAGCAACCTAGTACAACAAAGGCTTAATCTAGAAGTCAAGATAGACGAGGACAATGGAGAAACAACAAGAAAATAATTATCCAAAACATGGCGTATGTCCAACAGATCCAGAAATAGGAGACTGAGAACTCAAACA